AAACCCTGTCTGTAGAGTGAGGAGAGAAACCCTGTCTGTAGAGTGAGGCGAGAAACCTTGTCTGTAGAGTGAGGAGAGAAACCCTGTCTGTAGAGTGAGGAGAGAAACCCTGTCTGTAGAGCTAGGAGAGAAGCTCTGTCTGTAGAGTGAGGATAGAAACCCTGTCTGTAGAGTGAGGAGAGAAACCCTGTCTGTAGAGTGAGGAGAGAAACCCTGTCTGTAGAGTGAGGAGAGAAACCCTGTCTGTAGAGTGAGGATAGAAACCCTGTCTGTAGAGTGAGGATAGAAACCCTGTCTGTAGAGTGAGGAGAGAAACCCTGTCTGTAGAGTGAGGATAGAAACCCTGTCTGTAGAGTGAGGAGAGAAACCCTGTCTGTAGAGTGAGGAGAGAAACCCTGTCTGTAGAGTGAGGAGAGAAACCCTGTCTGTAGAGTGAGGCGAGAAACCCTGTCTGTAGAGTGAGGCGAGAAACCCTGTCTGTAGAGTGAGGAGAGAAACCCTGTCTGTAGAGTGAGGCGAGAAACCCTGTCTGTAGAGTGAGGAGAGAAACCCTGTGTGTAGAGTGAGGAGAGAAACCCTGTCTGTAGAGTGAGGATAGAAACCCTGTCTGTAGAGTGAGGATAGAAACCCTGTCTGTAGAGTGAGGAGAGAAACCCTGTCTGTAGAGTGAGGAGAGAAACCCTGTCTGTAGAGTGAGGAGAGAAACCCTGTCTGTAGAGTGAGGAGAGAAACCCTGTCTCTAGAGTGAGGAGAGAAACCCTGTCTGTAGAGTGAGGAGAGAAACCCTGTCTGTAGAGTGAGGAGAGAAACCCTGTCTGTAGAGTGAGGAGAGAAACCCTGTCTGTAGAGTGAGGAGAGAAACCCTGTCTGTAGACTGAGGAGAGAAACCCTGTCTGTAGAGTGAGGAGAGAAACCCTGTCTGTAGAGTGAGGAGAGAAACCCTGTCTGTAGACTGAGGAGAGAAACCCTGTCTGTAGAGTGAGGAGAGAAACCCTGTCTGTAGAGTGAGGATAGAAACCCTGTCTGTAGAGTGAGGATAGAAACCCTGTCTGTAGAGTGAGGAGAGAAACCCTGTCTGTAGAGTGAGGAGAGAAACCCTGTCTGTAGAGTGAGGATAGAAACCCTGTCTGTAGAGTGAGGCGAGAAACCCTGTCTGTAGAGTGAGGATAGAAACCCTGTCTGTAGAGTGAGGAGAGAAACCCTGTCTGTAGAGTGAGGATAGAAACCCTGTCTGTAGAGTGAGGATAGAAACCCTGTCTGTAGAGTGAGGAGAGAAACCCTGTCTGTAGACTGAGGAGAGAAACCCTGTCTGTAGAGAGTGAGGAGAGAAACCCTGTCTGTAGAGTGAGGAGAGAAACCCTGTCTGTAGAGTGAGGAGAGAAACCCTGTCTGTAGACTGAGGAGAGAAACCCTGTCTGTAGAGTGAGGAGAGAAACCCTGTCTGTAGAGTGAGGAGAGAAACCCTGTCTGTAGAGTGAGGAGAGAAACCCTGTCTGTAGAGTGAGGATAGAAACCCTGTCTGTAGAGTGAGGAGAGAAACCCTGTCTGTAGAGTGAGGAGAGAAACCCTGTCTGTAGAGTGAGGAGAGAAACCCTGTCTGTAGAGTGAGGAGAGAAACCCTGTCTGTAGAGTGAGGATAGAAACCCTGTCTGTAGAGTGAGGAGAGAAACCCTGTCTGTAGAGTGAGGAGAGAAACCCTGTCTGTAGAGTGAGGCGAGAAACCCTGTTCTGTAGAGTGAGGAGAGAAACCCTGTCTGTAGAGTGAGGAGAGAAACCCTGTCTGTAGAGTGAGGCGAGAAACCCTGTCTGTAGAGTGAGGAGAGAAACCCTGTCTGTAGAGTGAGGATAGAAACCCTGTCTGTAGAGTGAGGAGAGAAACCCTGTCTGTAGAGTGAGGATAGAAACCCTGTCTGTAGAGTGAGGAGAGAAACCCTGTCTGTAGAGTGAGGAGAGAAACCCTGTCTGTAGAGTGAGTAGAGATACCCTGTCTGTAGAGTGAGGAGAGAAACCCTGTCTGTAGAGTGAGGATAGAAACCCTGTCTGTAGAGTGAGGAGAGAAACCCTGTCTGTACAAATACTGTATCTTAAGTTGGGACTTGAAATCATCAACTGACTCTAACATGCAGAGACAGAGATATAAATATTCATTCAATCATTCTCTAACCCTTTATTAGTCCATTTCTGGGTCGGGGGGTGACGATGAGAGCTGCACCAGTCAGATGGCCTCTGATCTGTCAGGGGGGATCGAACCCACAACCTAATGCTCTACCAACTGAGCTACTGTTGCCCCTTGGTGACATATAAATAAGTAAAAACAAATTAAATGTAGCTTTAACAATCTCTAAATAATAAAGTCTGTCCATCTGTAACATGTTCTATTGTCCCACCATTGCTCCTACCAGAAAGAAACAACACTGTGTAGACTAATACCAGGTGAGCAGATGTGTCTCCTGCTGGTCTCCTGCTGGTCTCCTGCTGGTCTCCTGCTGGTGTCCTGCTGGTCTCCTGCTGGTCTCCTGCTGGTCTCCTGCTGGTCTCCTGCTGGTCTCCTGCTGGTCTCCTGCTGGTCTCACGCTGCAGAGGATCAAAACAAAACATCACAGTATTTCTTTTTGGGTTGAATTCCAAAGTTACATTACTGACTTTTGTACTTTTGTAAGTTAAATATGACCAATATTTTGTCGTAAATTACTGCGTTATAGAAAAAATCAAACCATTAAAGTCGTTACATTTATTTTCTGAAAGTGCTTTTAATTCAGTGACGTCTAAAGAAATATATTTTAAATGTTTTTGCGAATGTTCCACAAAGATAATGGTTTATTTCGTTGTTCTAAATCCACGTCCGTTCTTCATCTGAGCTCCTCGCTGCTCACGCTGCGCCCAGAGCGACTCCAGAGGTTCATTAGAAAACCCGCTGCTTAAATGAAGTCCCCCGCTGTTGATCCGAACACCCGCAGAGACGAGAACATACACAACACTGAGACCGAACACCCGAGAACATACACACCACTGAGACCGAACACCCGCAGAGACGAGAACATACACACCACTGAGACCGAACACCCGAGAACATACACACCACTGAGACCGAACACCCACAGAGACGAGAACATACACACCACTGAGACCGAACACCCGCAGAGACGAGAACATACACACCACTGAGACCGAACACCCGAGAACACACACACCACTGAGACCGAACACCCACAGAGACGAGAACATACACACCACTGAGACCGAACACCCACAGAGACGAGAACATACACACCACTGAGACCGAACACCCACAGAGACGAGAACATACACACCACTGAGACTGAACACCCGAGAACACACACACCACTGAGACCGAACACCCACAGAGACGAGAACATACACACCACTGAGATCGAACACCCGAGAACACACACACCACTGAGACCGAACACCCGAGAACACACACACCACTGAGACCGAACACCCACAGAGACGAGAACATACACACCACTGAGACCGAACACCCACAGAGACGAGAACATACACACCACTGAGACCGAACACCCGAGAACACACACACCACTGAGACCGAATACCCGAGAACACACACACCACTGAGACCGAACACCCACAGAGACGAGAACATACACACCACTGAGACCGAACACCCACAGAGACGAGAACATACACACCACTGAGACCGAACACCCGAGAACATAGACATCACTGAGACCGAACACCCGAGAACATAGACATCACTGAGACCGAACACCCGAGAACACACACACCACTGAAGTCGAACACCCGAGAACACACACACCACTGAAGTCGAACACCCGAGAACACACACACCATTGAGGCCGAACACCCGAGAACACACACACCACTGAGACCGAACACCCGAGAACATACACACCACTGAGACCGAACACCCGAGAACACACACACCACTGAGGCCGAACACCCGAGAACACACACACCACTGAGGCCGAACACCCGAGAACACACACAACACTGAGGCCGAACACCCGAGAACACACACACCACTGAGACCGAACACCCGAGAACATACACACCACTGAGACCGAACACCCGAGAACACACACACCACTGAAGTCGAACACCCGAGAACACACACACCACTGAAGTCGAACACCCGAGAACACACACACCACTGAGGCCGAACACCCGAGAACACACACACCACTGAGGCCGAACACCCGAGAACACACACACCACTGAGACCGAACACCCGAGAACACACACACCACTGAGGCTGTGACTTTTGTACTTTTGTAAGTTAAATATGACCAATATTTTGTCGTAAATTACTGCGTTATAGAAAAAATCAAACCATTAAAGTCGTTACATTTATTTTCTGAAAGTGCTTTTAATTCCGTGACGTCTAAAGAAATATATTTTATATGTTTTTGCGAACGTTCCACAAAGATAATGGTTTATTTCTTTGGTCTAAATCCACGTCCGTTCTTCATCTGAGCTCCTCGCTGCTCACGCTGCGCCCAGAGCGACTCCAGAGGTTCATTAGAAAACCCGCTGCTTAAATGAAGTCCCCCGCTGTTGATCCGAACACCCCCAGAGACGAGAACATACACACCACTGAGAACGAACACCCGCAGAGACGAGAACATACACACCACTGAGAACGAACACCCACAGAGACGAGAACATACACACCACTGAGACCGAACACCCGAGAACACACACACCACTGAGACCGAACACCCGAGAACACACACACCACTGAGACCGAACACCCGAGAACATACACACCACTGAGACCGAACACCCACAGAGACGAGAACATACACACCACTGAGACCGAACACCCACAGAGACGAGAACATACACACCACTGAGACCGAACACCCACAGAGACGAGAACATACACACCACTGAGACCGAACACCCACAGAGACGAGAACATACACACCACTGAGACCGAACACCCACAGAGACGAGAACATACACACCACTGAGACCGAACACCCACAGAGACGAGAACATACACACCACTGAGACCGAACACCCACAGAGACGAGAACATACACACCACTGAGACCGAACACCCGAGAACACACACACCACTGAGACCGAACACCCACAGAGACGAGAACATACACACCACTGAGACCGAACACCCACAGAGACGAGAACATACACACCACTGAGACCGAACACCCACAGAGACGAGAACATACACACCACTGAGACCGAACACCCACAGAGACGAGAACATACACACCACTGAGACCGAACACCCACAGAGACGAGAACATACACACCACTGAGACCGAACACCCACAGAGACGAGAACATACACACCACTGAGACCGAACACCCACAGAGACGAGAACATACACACCACTGAGACCGAACACCCGAGAACACACACACCACTGAGACCGAACACCCACAGAGACGAGAACATACACACCACTGAGACCGAACACCCACAGAGACGAGAACATACGCACCACTGAGACCGAACACCCACAGAGACGAGAACATACACACCACTGAGACCGAACACCCACAGAGACGAGAACATACACACCACTGAGACCGAACACCCACAGAGACGAGAACATACGCACCACTGAGACCGAACACCCGAGAACACACACACCACTGAGACCGAACACCCGAGAACACACACACCACTGAGACCGAACACCCACAGAGACGAGAACATACACACCACTGAGACCGAACACCCACAGAGACGAGAACATACACACCACTGAGACCGAACACCCGAGAACATAGACATCACTGAGACCGAACACCCGAGAACATAGACATCACTGAGACCGAACACCCGAGAACACACACACCACTGAAGTCGAACACCCGAGAACACACACACCACTGAGACCGAACACCCGAGAACACACACACCACTGAGGCCGAACACCCGAGAACACACACACCACTGAGACCGAACACCCGAGAACACACACACCACTGAGACCGAACACCCGAGAACATACACACCACTGAGACCGAACACCCGAGAACATACACACCACTGAGACCGAACACCCGAGAACACACACACCACTGAGGCCGAACACCCGAGAACACACACACCACTGAGACCGAACACCCGAGAACATACACACCACTGAGACCGAACACCCGAGAACACACACACCACTGAAGTCGAACACCCGAGAACACACACACCACTGAAGTCGAACACCCGAGAACACACACACCACTGAGATCGAACACCCACAGAGACGAGAACATACACACCACTGAGACCGAACACCCGAGAACACACACACCACTGAGACCGAACACCCGAGAACATACACACCACTGAGACCGAACACCCGAGAACACACACACCACTGAGGCCGAACACCCGAGAACATACACACCACTGAGGCCGAACACCCGAGAACACACACACCACTGAGACCGAACACCCACAGAGACGAGAACATACACACCACTGAGACCGAACACCCGAGAACACACACACCACTGAGACCGAACACCCGAGAACATACACACCACTGAGACCGAACACCCGAGAACACACACACCACTGAGGCCGAACACCCGAGAACATACACACCACTGAGGCCGAACACCCGAGAACATACACACCACTGAGACCGAACACCCGAGAACATACACACCACTGAGACCGAACACCCGAGAACACACACACCACTGAGGCCGAACACCCGAGAACACACACACCACTGAGGCCGAACACCCGAGAACACACACACCACTGAGGCCGAACACTCGAGAACACACACACCACTGAGACCGAACACCCGAGAACATACACACCACTGAGACCGAACACCCGAGAACACACACACCACTGAAGTCGAACACCCGAGAACACACACATCACTGAAGTCGAACACCCGAGAACACACACACCACTGAGACCGAACACCCACAGAGACGAGAACATACACACCACTGAGACCGAACACCCGAGAAGACACACACCACTGAGACCGAACACCCGAGAACATACACACCACTGAGACCGAACACCCGAGAACACACACACCACTGAGACCGAACACCCGAGAACATACACACCACTGAGACCGAACACCCGAGAACACACACACCACTGAGGCCGAACACCCGAGAACATACACACCACTGAGACCGAACACCCGAGAACACACACACCACTGAGGCCGAACACCCGAGAACATACACACCACTGAGGCCGAACACCCGAGAACACACACACCACTGAGGCCGAACACCCGAGAACACACACACCACTGAAGTCGAACACCCGAGAACACACACACCACTGAGACCGAACACCCACAGAGACGAGAACATACACACCACTGAGACCGAACACCCGAGAACATACACACCACTGAGGCCGAACACCCGAGAACACACACACCACTGAGGCCGAACACCCGAGAACATACACACCACTGAGGCCGAACACCCGAGAACACACACACCACTGAGGCCGAACACCCGAGAACACACACACCACTGAGACCGAACACCCGAGAACATAGACATCACTGAGGTTTAGGATGTTACATGTCGCTGTAAATCGCCATTTCATCATAAATAACTTTATAATTTACCACTAATTGAAGTGACAACAGTTACTCAGTCCTCGTTCTACAGTCTGAGTCCTCGTTCTACAGTCTGAGTCCTCGTTCTACAGTCTGAGTCCTCGTTCTACAGTCTGAGTCCATGATATAAAGCCTCAGTCCTCGTTCTACAGTCTGAGTCCTCGTTCTACAGTCTGCGTCCATGATATAAACTGGAGTGGATCCCTCTCTTGTTGTGGGCCTCTCTGAGGTTTCTGAGTTTTTCCCAGTGGATTTTTAAGTTGTTCTTTGCTGATGAAGGAGGGAATGAGGAAGTGTGAGCGGGGATTTGGGACATTTAAGGACTTTTTTGATTTTCTGATCTGTTGTTGGCGAATCAACAACTTTGTACAGTCCTCATAAATGCTGCTGTTGTGATTTAGGGCGATACACAAATACAGTGATTTGAAGTTATTGCATACAACTTTTGTACACACAGCATTTTTCATTCTCTCCTACTGGAGCCATATCTGCCCTGTGTCAGGCTGAGAGAAGCTTGACCGCGCCATCGCCCCCGACAACCCCTGATCATTCACACACACACACACCAGACTCTTACTGGACCATGTGGGTGCCTCCAAAAAGGACACAACAGTTTGGCATTTCACAGCCGCAGCCGAGGTCTCCCATCACAGCACTAACCAGGCCCTGCCCTGATGGCGCAAGAGTCACATTGTGAAAGGCATGAAGTAAGAGGTCGTCTAGAATGAGCTGCGGCGGCACAGGTCAAAGATTCACAAATAACTTATCAATGACATCTTTAACAGTGGTTGAAAGTTGTTAAAAGAGTCGTCACTGATCAGCCTCGATTCCAGCTTCTTCCCATAAACAAACCTTCTCTCTCAGGTCTGTATGAGCTCCATAGAACCACACTCCCTTTATGACGGATCGGACCTCAGCAGCACCCGGAGGCCATGCTGCACATCACGCGGAGTAAACAACCCTCCCCCTCCCCCCCCCCACCTCCTCCCTCTCTGCCCGCTTGGCTCTGCTTCGGCCTGGGGGCATCTCTTCTTCTTCTAGTCTCGCGGTGGTTTGCTAATTGCCAGACAAATCGCTTCCCACTCCCTCCTTTTTACCCGAAAATATATGATTCTGCAGCGCGTAGGGAGTCGGGGAGGTCACGGAGCCGCGAGATGTATGGCTGTGGGGAGGTGTGTGTGTGTGTGTGTCTGTGTGTGTGTGTGTGTGTATGTGTGTCTGTGTGTGCGTGTGTGTGTGTGTGTGTGTGTGTGTGTCTGTGTGGGGTTAATCTAAAAGTAGACACATATTAAGTATTAAAAAGAGCGGAGCCAAATTGCGCGCGGGCCAACTTGGAGCTGTCCATTACGCGCGGCGCCTGCTGCGGACACACGGGCGCGCGCACTTCACTCTGAGGCCGCGAGCGCATGAATAAGACATTAAAAAGGCGAAAGGCAAAGAGGGGAATTATTCATGAGGCGTCCAGAGAGCGCGTGGTGGAGTTTAGAAGTGGTCTTCGGGGCTGCAGCGTTTACAGAGGCCTGAGTGGATTAAGAGACGCTTTATTCATCCCACAGAAGGACATTCCAGTGTTGCATCAGCAGTTACAGAACCAAACTTTATTGATCTCACAACGGAGATATGTGTTCGTCACTCAGATTGTGCAAAAGACAGAAGTGTGCAACATGTTAAGGTTAAATATAGTCTGTGCAGGATATAATTATTTACAATAAAATGAGGCAACAGCAGCTGTTTTTTCAGTCCGAGCGCATTAGTGACTTAAAGTGACTTATTGTACAGTATTACGTGCCAGAATGTCCAGGGTAGCACGTAACGTATATAGTGAATAACCGGGTGTGGGATGACGAAGGATGAAGGTGAGAGGTCGTAGATTAGGAGTAAAAAATAATAGGTTTATTACACAAAACTCAGGATCTCATAATAAACAAATAAACTACTAGCAGAAATGTGCAGAAACAAAGGTGCAGCGTAGGACGCAGACGTCAGCCCTCATCTGGGCCAGGGGCCTTTTAGGCCTGGGCTGATTGGCATCCAGCAGGTGCCGATCATCAGCCAATGGGTGGTGCGGAGGAGGCACAGAGCTGAAGGGGGTGGAGGCAAGGAAAAGTACCAACCACAAGGCCCATAACATACAGTCTGACAGCGGTGGGGGTGAAGGCTCTGTGGAGAACATCTATAACCTAATTGAATAATCTTAATCTATAACATAATAAAGAATAAACAATGATGACACCTATAGATGTGATATGAGTCTGGAAACCTCTGCATACACGAGGAGAACATGCAAACTCCACCAGCCCTGTTCCGAACCCTCCGAGCCCATTCAAACCAGAAGTTACGCAACGCACCTTCGTAATCCTAGTAACAGAAGTAGTAGCAGAAATAAGCCATGTTCAGTTATATAGGCACGTCAGACCTACTGTACATGTTTTTACTGGTAGGGGAAACCGGAGCACCTGGAGGAAACCGGAGCAGGAGAACATGTAAACTCCACTCAGAAAGGCCCTGAACCTTCTTGCTAGCGACAATGCTCTCTGTGAGGAGTGAGAGACAAATGCCCACAACAGTTATAAAGCTCTTTGAGACTCTGGTCTGTGAAAGGCACTATATAAATAAACATTACTTACACAGTCATTTAACAAACACACTTTTATTCTGACGCAAAAACACGATTGAAGCCAAAAGACGGTCATCTTGTGTTTGTTCTGGAGCTTCATGATCTCGCTTCTCTTTCCAAACATCTGCCGCACATCTGTACCTTACACACGGACACGGAGCAGATGGAAACATGTGGAGCTTTATTTTGGACGAACAAAAGAATGAGAGAAGAAAACAGGCAAAAAGAAGTCGGGATTTCATATTTATATAAAACAAAAGACACAGTTTAAATGATCTGACTCGTAACATTGGTCCAAACCATAGACTGCTAACCTGCTAGCTAGATTAAGCTCAATAGGGAAGTGCTCATGGGCAAAGTTTCACTCCAACTTGCTCTGGCTCCTGACATCCAGGTTTATCTCTCTCTCTGATCCGAGGTATATGCTTTGCCAAATCAGATTTTAATTGTGGATTAAAGTCCATCTTATGAAGAAGAAGAAGGTCCTGTATTCTTCTCACAGTGGGCAAATTTCCGTTTTTGATTAATACACATCAAGGCATGCAGCGAACATTACTTCCACGCTCCTTATAGACAAAGTGTATTAAGTGTCTTGCCCAAGGACACATCGACAGCAGACATCAGTGGAGTCTGTGGAGACCAAAACTCTACAGCTGAGGCACTACAAAAAAACGTCTGCCCCTGTTATGGCGCGAAGCCATCAAACCAAACGCCCATATAAGGATTTTGGCTCCTGCTAGCTTTAGCCTCTGCCGCATTACGGCTAACACTGCGGTGATGTCACACTCTGTCCTCTTCTAACAGACGGTCTGTGGTGAAGGCAGAGCTCTGGGTCTCCTGAGCTTTGGGTCTTGACAAGCTCGTGGATACAAGCTCGTATTAGAGTCGCTGCTCCTTTACGTGGAGAGGAGCCAGTTGAGGTGACTCATCTTAGGAGGTGCTCCATGGGTATGTCCCACCAGGAGGAGACCAGGAGGAGACCAGGAGGGGACCAGGAGGAGACCAGGAGGAGACCAGGAGGAGACCAGGAGGGGACCAGGAGGAGACCAGGAGGAGACCAGGAGGGGACCAGGAGGAGACCAGGACACAGAGGGACTGGCTCAGTTGGTAGAGCATTGGCCTTTGAGCCTGAAGGTTGTGGGTTCGAGTCCACTGCGGGACCTTCTCCACGGACTCACACTGATGTCTGCTGTCGTTGTGTCGTTGGGCAAGACACTCAACCCTCTTTGCCTGTAATGTAGCCGCTTGATGTGTTTATGTGTATTCATCAAAACTGAAATTTCCCCACTCTGGGACAAATAAAGGACCTTCTTCTATGGGTAGAGACCAGGAGGAGACCATGAAGAGACCAGGGGGAAGAAAATGGATGGTTCCGAACAGATGTGTGGTCGTGGAGCGCCAGGAGCCAGAGAGTTAATCCCAGGCGTTTAGCGTTTAGCGTTAGCAGGACCCCATCCCGGGTTGATGGATTTGATATTTAGCGTAGCACAGTCTGAGGCAGAGACCCCCGACTCCTGCGTTAGTGCAAAGTCACAACCTCTCACTGCTACAGCGGGACCACGGAACGTTCTCTTGAAGAAAGTAAAATATAGGTTTTTCTCAAGAGGTGTTTATTACAAGTTATTAACACACGTCTGTGCAAAGAATGTTATAATATTTATTATTAACAATTATTTATTTGTACTCGACTGATTTTCCTATTGCATTTGTACTTGTGTGTGCAATCTCTATGGCATCCAGCAGCACTCTGGCCAATCACTGTCAGTTAGAGCACTTTGGAACCAGCTCGGCCTGAACCAGGACCAAGAGGGACTAAAGAAGGACCTGGGACTGGTTACACAGGACCAGAGATCAGTCTCTCTCTGATCTCTCTCTCTCTCTCTCTGGTCTCTCTCTTTGGTCTCTCTCTGATCTCTCTCTATTCTCTCTCTCTGGCCCCTCTCTCTCTGGTCTCTCTCTTTGGTCTCTCTCTGGTCTCTCTCTATTCTCTCTCTCTGGTCTCTCTCTCTCTCTGGTCTCTCTCTGGTCTCTCTCTCTGGCCCCTCTCTCTCTGGTCTCTCTCTCTGGTCTCTCTCTCTGGTCTCTCTCTTTGGTCTCTCTCTGGTCTCTCTCTGGTCTCTCTCTCTGGTCTCTCTCTGGTCTCTTTCTGGTCTCTCTCTGGTCTCTCTCTGGTCTCTCTCTTTGGTCTCTCTCTGGTCTCTCTCTATTCTCTCTCTCTGGCCTCCCTCTCTGGTCTCTCTCTCCAAAACGAACGATCACTCCCCGCAGCCATGACGCGTTATTCCGGTAAAAAG